TTCTTCTGTATCATTCTCAATGGGATGGTTACTCGGTTCCATGTGCTATCTGCTTTGGCTTTGAATACTTGGACTTTAGTGTGATTTTGCATTCTGGATTTCTGTGCTTCGTCCATACTCATGTTCCTTGCAATTTGGTATCGGAGCTGGTTTGATCGCCACTTACCTTTGGCACGCTGGCGTTATACAGACTTGGTGCGTTGATGATGCTTCTTCGCAGTGGGTACTTGTGACGTCAGGCTACACTAGGTGCACGCCCTGGGTAGTGAGGGGTGCACCGGAAGGCTACAGACGACATTATTAGCCGTGGTGACAGGCGGAATGTATGATTGGTGATGAGAGCATGCTGATGTGGCATTGGACTAAGGTGGCACTGCATTGCGTTGTGGGTGGTACCGAGGTCATGACCGGTCATCAAATGCAATATCAGCTCAATTGGTGAAAAATCTATGGTTGGGGGCAGCTATCTCCAGGTACGTTGTTCCCTTACCTTATCTACTCTCTCAATCTCTTCTTACCGTGAGGAAGTGAGTCCAACTTGAGAGTCCTCTCTTTTGGTGAGGTGTCGTGAGCGCGGTACCTTGAGAGACGACAATCTTCCCGGAAGCATATTGGAAGGAGAAGGGGCGGTGCCTCTGAAGGGCCCTGGTCGAAGCACTTGGGTCACGGTCACCATGCCAACGCACAGGGAGTAGTGCACGCATGCGATGGCTGCTGTCCTGTTTGGCACTTGCTGCGCTGATGGAAGTTCCTCCGGGTGTGCCAGCCCATGACAGACGCTCACCAGACCGTCTATAAATATTTCTGGTTGGGAGTTCATTGTGAATCTGGCTGTGATCATCGTTCTGACTGCGACGTTAAACAATTCCTGAAGAGATGGGGGCGCTCTATAAATCCCTCCTGATCAGCCAGATCACATGGACAGGAAGGCTCGTCGCCGTACGAGGGTAAATAAGAGTGGTTGGGCTGGCTTGCTCGGTGACAACTTGGGCACAGGGGTGGGCCGAAACACACATGAAACACTGCCTGCTCAAAGATGCTATTCGGTATGTTGGATTGAGGGGAGGGTAGGTTCTAATTGGTGCTCAACTGTATACGCAACCATACACATCAATCATACATCTGTTACATTGTCTTTTTGTACTTTTGATTAGTTGGTGGACAGACTGCTAACACCTCACAGACAGACTAGAGTAGGACTGAAGTATACTACCATAGCCGGTTCTATCTAGTGCTGCTGTAAGTGAACTAGTCAAAGTGCATCTAGACTATGTAGACAATCTGTGTGAATGTTGTAGACATGCCACTTGATCGGTACAGTAGGGGACTTGCCGGACACAACTATTTATAGAAAACTAAGTGCTGGTCAGACATATGCTGCGGTAGGATTCCACTAGGGGATTCTAGTGCAGATATTGCCTGTCTAACTAATGAGTGGATCAAATCCTGTGGATGATATAGTTGACAACACTAGACTAACACGTTCAGGAACAAGTATAATCCCGTACGTGTTCAAGACCCTAGACGAGGAAGAATTAAGACGGATTCGTGCTGAACGCAGAGCCCGTGCTCTCGCAGCATCGAGAGCAACAGCAAATGCCGCAGCTAGGGAACAGGCTGCCGCAGCAGCTAGGGCAGCAGCCATGACTAGCTCAGCAGCATCCTCTGTGGCTTTGTCAGGGACTAATGGGATGAGTGTGGGAATGCCAACTAGTTCCACAAGTTCCTCGGGCACTTCCGGATCAACAGGTTCTAGACAGTCTACTAGTCAGATGGCGGGCTCGCAGTACAACCCACTGACCGCACGTGAACGGGAACTCAGGGAACTCCAACAGGTCGAAAGGGTCCGCGAAAGGTTAGAAAGAGAACTGAAAGAGACTACTGATAGAGAAAAAGAGATAAAGACTAGAGCTGCCAGGCTTGATACACTAGAGACTGACAAAGCTGAGTTAGAGGGATTGGACGAAACGGGTTTGTCTGACCCCATGAAAGTGTTGAAGAACAACATGTTGTCACTGCACGCGCATGTAGACAGCAGGTTGGACTTCATGCAGAGCACTTTGGACCAGATCCTGGATGTATTGACAAGGCCAGGATTCAGGCCACCAGCACACTCGTCGTTGCCGTTAACGGCGATGTCAGGTCCCTTTCCCGTACAAGCTGGCACACAGCCAAGTGGTACGTCTGCAGCAGTCTCACAGACTGTTGCGCTTTCTTCTTCGAGTCCGGTGGTGATTGCTACATCACCACAACAACCTGTTCAACAATCTGGACAGCCACAAGGCCAATGGTATCCCAAGACCCCAATTAAACCGCCTCTTGCCTTCTTAGACGAGAGAAAGGACGAGGAACTCAACACATGGTTGAGGACAGTCCCGGTTTGGGTGAAGGCCAAAAGGACCTTGCCAGAGGATGAGGTGGTAATTGCGGCGTCTTACCTAGAGGGTAAGGCATCCAAGTGGCTAGATGGTGTAGTTGTGAAGGCCGGGTACGGGCGACGCATGGCGGATTGGGCTAAGTCTTTGACCTTAGACCAATTCATGGAGATGGTAGAAGCTCGATGGCATAACTTACAGGAGGCTCAAAGGGCCACTGATGCCATTAACAAACTTGACCAACGCAAGTTCAGGTCAGTTAGGGAGCTTACGATTACCGTGGAGGGCCTGATCCTCGTCCCGGGCATCAACTACAGTGACCAGTTCCTGTTAACAACTTTTGTTAGATGTCTTCCAAAGAATATCAGGAACTTACTGGCCAGTGAAGCACGCACCGAGTACCACTCGTTTGAGACATTGTCTAGGAAGGCCTTAGACTTAGAGGCAACACTAGGCAATGCTCAACCCACCTCAGGGAACGACTCAAAGAAGAAGAAGAGTCCCCAGGAGTGGAAGAAGAAGGGGGCGAAGTTGATGATGGTTGAGTCAGATGGGACCCAAACTGAAATCGACGAGCTCTCTGATTTGGTGGACTATTCAGAGTATGCGAGGAGGTAGCTGAGGGTAGCACCCTCGCCGCGGTAGTAAAGACTAAGGCAGGTAGCCGAGGTAAGGGCCAACCTAGGAGTCAAGGAAAGGCCGCCTCCAATCAGACGAAACAGGCTGAGTGGGTAAAGGCAGGTCTTGACCAGGATGTGTGGCGTGACTGCCGATCGCGTGGCGCTTGCATCAACTGCGGTGAATACGGACACACGCAGTGGAAGTGTCAGAACGCGAAGGTTACGCAAAAGGTTGCACCAAAGCTTGGGGCAACTTATTCCCAGGCATCTAGCTCGGGAAACGCGTAGGGCCAGTGGAAGTAATAGCGGCTTCTACTCAAGATGAAGTGGGAGTGATACCCTCCTCACTTCATGACAAGGCCGAAGCTAACGACTCCTTAGCTACCCCGCAGGCGCATCTAGACCAAACTATGCTCTGTACGTTAGATGTGTCTGAGGCCTTAGAAGACTTAGAAGGCGAATGGTCAAACAAGGATCCTCGTGAGTCTTGGGTGGCGCTAAAGAAGGGTCCTAGAGGGGAACATTTCGTGGTGGAAGTGGATGTAGGAGGCCGCAAATGTGGAGCCTTCATAGACAACGGATCCACGCGAAATTACATAAGTCGCGATTGTTTGGAAAGGCTGCACCTACAGGACCGGGTACGGGACCTTAGTAGACCAGTAGCATCTACTTTGGCCAACAAGGAGCGCATGATAGTGACAGACTACATCAAGGACGTAGTCTGTACCTTCTCCTATGGAGGAGGCGAGCTTAACCATAAGATCTCGTTCTTGGTTAGTGACGACTTACCTTTCGAAACGCTGTTAGGTATGTACTACCTCAAGTTGCTAAGCCCCAGTTCGACTGGGATAAGAAGGTGCTCAAGCAAAAGTTGCCCGATGGCCGAACTGTCAGATTGACTAAGTTCAAGGCCAACAGTATTGTAGACTCCTATGGCTGCTTGTGTGCATCAGCATTCTACAACTATTACAAGCAAAACAAAGAGGAGGGTATGTACCTTGTTTATGTCTCTGAGAAAGGGGGAGGCTGTTAAAACACCCCCAGAGATAGAACGCGTCGTTGCTAAGTTCCCTGATCTGTTCGAGGAGCCCACATGAGTTGTTGATAGGGAAGTCGTCCACGCTATAAAAATCATTCCAGGAAGTAAGACCCCAAAGGGAAGGATCTATAGGATGGCCCCTGCCGAGTTAGATGAACTTCGGAAGCAACTGAAGGAGCTGACAGAGAAGGGATGGATTCGGCCTAGTACTTCCCCTTACGGATCACCCGTACTATTCGTACTGAAGAAGGGGGGTACTTTGAGGATGTGCATTGACTATAGAGGCCTCAATGCCATCACAGTGAAAAACGCAGAGCCTCT